CTAATATATTAAACATTCAGTGTGGTAGTCTTCAGCATTCTAAGATGTGCTGGGCAGTTTGACCACTTTTTTTTTTTTTAAGATTCTTATTGCATCACATATATTGTAATGTCAAAATAATGTAATGTAAAAATACTAGCTTATTATCAAAAACGGTGGAAACCAAACTTTAACAATTTAATATTTTAAAATGTAATAAAGTGGAAATGTAAGTGCTGCACATCAGGTTTACTGTGTAAATTAAAACATGACGTCATAATCATTTTTATGAATTTTATTTATTTTTTAAATTATTGCATGTACATTCCAGAGGCCATTATCATCAGCGTGTTACATAGGGTTTCATTTCAGGTTTTTGTAAATTCTATCCAGCAGAAAATGTAACCTGTCTCCTTATACAACATAGCAGTGACATATCTGTTTTATTTTTCATGTTTTCTCTATCACACACATTCATGCATAAATCAGCAGAAATGTGCTACTTTTTTCTCACATTGGCTTTCTGTAGGCCCCAGTTTCCAGTAAGACAGTTTAACAGTGCTTGTTTAGCAAAAACATGCTGGACTGTATCATGTTAGAAGTGTTTTTACAGTTGTTTTTACGAGGATGAGAGATCTGTACCTGACCCTGGCCATGTGTTTCTTCCCCTGTTTGGTCATTTCTCTAATGAAATACAGTAGCTGTTTTGAAATCTAAACTTATTTATTAACTATTGAAGTTAGGGGCGGGCCATATGTGCTGGAAATAAGGTTGTTATATCAAAAAGAAGAAGAAATATAAATACTACAGAATCTAAAATAACACTACTGGAGTTACTCAGTGAGTCAAGAGCAGTGAATGCTAGGCTGCTGTCACTTTAAGACCTAATGCACTGATCAAATAAATTTACACTTGTTTGATTTTCTCCCAACTGTTTACATTCACTAAAAAATAACCAACTGTGTTTATGTGAATACTTGCCATGAATAGCATCGCCTTTAATAGCGCTCTTTATTTTCCATTTTTCTTTGTTGCTTTAATATGTCAGAAACTTTAAGCCATACACTGCTAATATATTTATAGTCTTACATGAATATAAACAAGCTCTAGGAAAAATTTGATTATTTCTCAGCATTTGTGAGTATGAATTCATGTTTGCGTGATTAAAATCAGACATGGAGCCCTGTCCACTATACTGTACTAACTTATTTGCACTAAGTTTGCACATTTATTTATCTCTGCATCTCATTTTACATTTTTTTTTATTTTTTATTTTTTTTCAGGCTGAGTTCCAATGGACTTCATGTCTTCATGTTAACCATCTTTGTTTCAGGATCTTTTCTCAAAACTAACTTCTTTTTCTGGTGGATTTTTATACTGTTGAGGCATTTTTATGTATGAGGTCAGTTCCTCTCAAGTACATTATTTTCAAATGTATCATTAATTAAATACTTAATTCATATTTAATAAATTATTTACTTAATGATAATAATAATTCATAATTACAAATAGTACTACTGATAAAAAATAATTATTATAGTTAATATTTATTAGTAGTAGTAGTAGTAGTAGTAATCAGAATTATTGTTATTAATGTTGTTTTTATTATTACAGAAGAAAGAAGGGATGGATGGTAATGGGACATAAACATAATATAGTTTAATAAATATGCATTAATGACACAGTTATAAATTCTCTTACCGGTTTCTGTGCTTTTTGTTTATAGAATGTCGGATCAGCGTAAGTGATCTCTTCATTACGAGTCTGATCTGTTCCTACAATAATCATTAAATCAACACAAAAACAACAACAAACTCAATATTAAATTGTTTATTTTTCTTTCTTTTTTTTTTTATTGTTTTATTATTTTTATACTTTTTATACTCAGCAGTTGGTAACACTTGCCTTCTTGGTCTGTTTTTCTGTGTCTCCTGCAGATCCAGTAGATCCCGACAGCAGCTGCAATCAACAGAGATCCAGCAAGAGCTGCAGAGATCAGCATTTTCTGAGATGCAGAGCCTGGAGAATGTGAAGGAGAGTGTGGAGTCTGTGAAAAATGCTACAGAAAATATGATTAACCCAAATGTAGCCTAAACAGAATTTAACATTTCATTAAAAATAAAAAGAATTAGGTATTTTGTGAAATTCGTCTTCTTTAAGGACAGACAACAAACACACTGAACTTTTCATAGTATGTGAAAAGATGCCTAGAGACCACCAGTTTGCTATTGTAAACCCAAAATTACAATGTTACATTTGGGACATGATTTTGCAAATGCAGTAAAATCAAGAATCAGTGATTTGTTAATTCTCTTTAACTTTTATTTAATTGACAAAAGTACACAGAAAAAGTTTTGAATGTTTGACTGGCCAACTTTAATGTATTTTGTAAATATATATCAAATAATAGATTTAATAGGTGAGAGGATCGTAATTGGGTGTAAAGGGACATCTCAGTCTTTGCCAGGAAAGCTGGCAATGACATAATTGACAGAAAAATCACATTTCTCAATGCAAAAATTTCACCATCTACTATGCATAATATTGTGAAAAGATTCAGGGAATCCAGATAAATCAGTATGTATGGGGCGAGACAGGACAGTTCAGTTGAATGTGGACAACCTTTGAGGCCTCAGATGGCATTGCATGGAAACCATCATGCTGCATGCTGTCCATGGTTATTTAGATCAAGCCAATGCCAGGTTTCATTCTGCATGTGGTTTCGTAGACACGTGTGGATGTGATCTGACTGGCCTGCAGATATTGAAAATGTATGACCTGTCATGAAAAGAAGAATCAGACGATGACCACAGACTGATGAGCAGCTGAAGTCTTGTATCAAGCACGATTGGGGAACAATTTTGCTTGCAGAACTTTAAAAAAATTAGCATCCTTGATTCCCAGACTCTTCAAATGTTTAATTAATAGGACAGTTGATGTGACACAGTGGTAAATGTGCCTCTGTCCCAATTTTTTGGAGTATGTTGCAGCTATAAAAAAAAATCAAAATTTGTTTATATTTACAAAATACAATTAAGTTGGCCGGAGAAATAATTGGAAATCTGTTCTTTGTACTTTTGTCAATTAAATGAAGGTTAAAGAGAATGAACAAATCACATATTCTTGATTTTATGGCATCTTGCAAAACGTCCCAACTTTTCTGGAATTTGTTCTTCTAAGCAGTTTGTTTTAGATGTTGTTTTAGATTATGAATGCCAAATCATCAAAGTTAAGCCAGTGGTAAGAAGCCCATTTTAAGATTTTTTTTCTTCTTCTAATAAATAGTATAGACAGAACAAGCGCACGTGCAATTGTGACTCACCATAGACAGTAACATTGAATCTGTATGTGGTCTGTTTTGTGGGGTCTTTGATGTTTACTGTATAATTTCCAGAGTCTGTGGTTCTGGTGTTTGTGATGTTCAGAGATCCAGTCTGATGATCCAGCTGCAGTCTGTCTCTGAATCCCACAGCATCACCATCAGATGTGGAGACAAATCCCTCCTCTTTATTGATTTGAGCTATAAGAGTCTCTGGATGTCCAAATGTCCATGTTATCAGAGTTGTACGCTGTAGTTCAGTAACATTAGTCTGTAGAGTGACTGATTCTCCCTCCGTCACTGACACTGACTTCACTGCATCTGGATCAGCAAACACTGGAGATCAGAGTTTCACAGTTACACATTACAGTTTTTGATAAAGTAAAAATAAATATATTAACATTGGTTTAATCTAGGTTTATCTTTAAGCTTGTAGATTTGAAATGATCACAAACTTTCTTGAGACTCTGAACACTGCGGTGAAGTGAGCTTTATTTTTCAGAAAAGTGACTATCTGAGCTGATTTTAGTCAGTTCAGGCCAGACTGTGTGTGAAGGAGCTTTAGCACTGGCTCTCACTGAACTGAAATATCAGAAGTGAAATAAAGCTGCAGCAGCCATTACATAGCAAAACACCAGAGAGATTGGTCTGTTTTGAGTACATTTAACTGGACATCAGCATCTCTGGTGATGATTTTAGGCGAGTAGAATTACTGAAAACAAAACTTTTAACCATTAGGTCAGGGCATTGTGACAACAACATACTGTATATGATGTTTAATGTGGAGCATTGCAAAGATATACAGGATCCTGATCATCAGTCATGTGTGAACACCATTTGTGGTTGTTTCCCAAAAATCTATGAACGAAACACTCAGATCTCTCAAATTCACCGTTTTATTGCACTATTTTTTCAAGGGGCAACTTTTTAAAACTCTAAAAGTACAACAAACTAGTTCTTTTGCTTTCTAGTAAATCACAACAGGGCATAAGATAATGCAAATATTTTGGCGAACAGCCTTCTTCAGTGTTCATCAAAACACAACAGTATGATCTGCTTTCAGACTGGTATTAATAATGATCGGTTATTTCAGTAGCAAACAAAGTAAGACACTTATTGTACAGAATCTCTAGATGATCTGAATGAACAGTATTACAGTCCCATTACAAACACTCAAACTGACATATATGAGTAAAGCCGGTTATACTGCATTATCTGTACATTCGGCTTTCAGAACGTAGGAAAGTAAGTTGTTTTGTTTTACACTTTTAAATAAGATTTATGCCCCTTCCAGTCTGAAATTCTGATTGGATATAAGCTTTATTTATATTGCAGATACTTGTACCGTCAGACAGAAAAAAAGCCAACCGATATTTAAAACACTACAAATTCTGATTTCATCATTTAAGATGTCAATAGAAAATACACTGAAAGTGAGACCAAACACAGTAAAATCCTAGTTTGATTTATGATTCTGGTACAACTGAAACTATAAAAATGATTCAGACTTACCAACCAGATGCCAAAAGCACAAACAGCAAAAAAACAAACAAGCAAAAAATTTTCTTCAGCCGTTCGTAAAAAGGGAAATAAAAGTCCTGTAGTGAGTGTATAATCACTGAGATGAAAACTGCTGCAGTCTGTGTTAGTACGTGTCTGTTGTGGGTTGTATTTCAATTCTGCTGATCTTTTTGTTTCTTCTAAACCACAGTCTCTATATTAATGATACAGTATTGATTTATGACCTCTCCCACTCTTGTTTGGACTAGATTAATTTAGTAATCTAGCCTAGAAACACACTGTAAAAAATAAGTGTAATTTTAACTGTAACATTTTGTAAAAACACTACGGAAAAACTGTTAATAGGTTAACAGTAAGTTCCCGTACGTAAATTAGTTTTATACTGTAAAATTTACAGTTTTTGGCCGTAGATGTGTTTACAGTTTTTCTGTATTTTTTACTAAATTATTCTGGCAACCAGAATTTTGGCAAGCTGCCAAAATTATTTTGTAAAAACTACAGAATTTTTTTTACAGTGCAAATACTATAGCTTAATTGTCGGTTTCCAAATTAAAAATAAAAAATACTGCAAGAGGCAAGTTTAGGCCAAAGGAAGGGAACTCTGAATGGGAACTTATTTACTTCTACTTAAATTTCAGCTAAGACTAGTGATAGAATTTAAATTAAACACAAACAATGTATGTTTTCATTACTTTGAGAAGTCATGGATTTGAGAAAATGCTTTTTAAAGTGGTTGTTTCTGCTTTGGCTGCAGTAACTTCCACCAAACATTTCCTGTCATTGCAACACAGTGGTCTGGAGGAATCTTGCACCATTTCTATTTGAAAAACACTGTTTCATTTAAGTATTATTCTTACGGTCAACTTCAGAAGATGTATTGTCTTTTGTTAAATGTAAAAGATAATGTACTCATGTGCTTTGTCTGTCTATGGAATATGGCTTTTTCTGTGGTGTCCTTCCATGCTGTTTTTGTCTTTAGAAACAACCAAATTTTCCTTCAGGGCAAAAGCCTTTCACTGACACTTGAGCTGAAGATTCTTCTTAACATTAAGAGCAGCAGAAGCAGCGCTGAACTTTCTACATTTATAGACAGAGCATATTGCGGTGGACTGAACAACAGCAAGGTACAACTTCCAACTTTCAAAGTACTTCCAGCTTTATTTAAATCAACAAACCTGAGCCTGAACTCAGCAACGTCTCCAGTCGTGAAAACATACATTGTTTGTAATTTAATTTAAATTCTATCACTATTTTATTCTGAAATTCAGGTAGAACTAAATTAAGTTCCCATTCAAAGTTCAAAGTCCCTTTACCAAATGCTAAGGTAGTTTGCATACAATTCATTTACTGAAAACGATGAAGAAAAATAAAGTAGTATATGTCTTAAAAACGATAAAGAGGTTGATAACAGTTGCATGCTCTTTTTTCAGTATAGAATAAACAAAAAAATAACACACAAAATAAAATGTTTTTTAACCACTAAACCTTTATAAATGGATCAGTTGTGAGCTCAGAGGTTGTTAATCGATTGTTTATGCATTTGTTGAAACCATCAGTTTGCATTTATTCAATTTATTTTTTACAATAATTGTGTTTAATAGCGAAATTCTTGGTGAAAATCTGCATTACCCATGATGCTGTGTACAAAATTCCACCAATCAGAGAGTTGCAGTGAGCAAAGCATGCTTTTGTACTGCATATTTTGCATTTATATTTCTTTCTTTTTTTTATTTGATTATGTCATTTCCATAGTGTTCCTGTGGCTCAGTGGTAGAGTATTGAGTTAGCAGCGCAAAAGGTCGTGGGTTTGATTCCCAGGGAACACACATACTGGTAAAAAATGTATATCCTGAATGCACTGTAAGTCGCTTTGGATAAAAGTGTCTGCTAAATGCATTAAATAAATAAAAGTGTCATTTGTAATGCTTCATGGGATTGCAGTTCTTTCTCTCACCAAAGGTCACAGTCTTGTAACTTTGTTGTTTTGTCCAAATTTAATGTAGGTTTTGCTTCAAATAAAAGTTTATAATGATGCGATTCTCCTCATAGCTGGTTAGCATAGTTCATGGCTTATAACACTTTAACAAAGACTTTTTAAAAATCCCTAGGGAAAATATGTCGAGAGCCAGCACTGGCATTGCACTCTACTATGTGGATTACCCTTTACTGCTTTTTTTACCCTTTTTTTTTTTTGAGTGGAAAAATTTTAAATATTGCATCAGCTATTATATGTGTACTTATAGGCCTACAGGTAAGTAAGCAGGTAAAACTAAAATAATAATTTTATTGCATAAATACAAGCAGGATTTGTGTGCAATGGGTGCTGAATAAAACAAAATGTTTTTATTAGGGTATGATATAATGTTATTATTCATTCCGAACATAAAAACTGGTATATGTAGTCTATAACAAACCATCTGTCTCTTTCCAAGAAATGTTTACAAAAAACTAAAACTTGCACCGACACTCCAGTCCGGTAGGTGGCAGTAATGCACCTATATGCATTACGAAAATTAATCAGTACATTTTCAGTCGATATATAGTCTCTTCGTTGATTTTTAGTTTGTTTTTCAGTCAGTGATTCTTTCTGTCGATCGGTTTGATTCTGTGGCGGTTAAGGTCGGAGCAGATTACAAATAATATCCATATAGGCCTAACGTTACCATATTCGGAAACTCGATTTTTGTCGAATTCTACGGCAGTATGAAAAACAGTTTGTTGTACTTTATGCTCTTATTTTTTTATGGAAGGTAATGTTTTTCTTTCTTTCTTAAACACTTTCGGTTTCTCTTTGTAAAATCCGTAATTTGTCTGTATTTTATTCGCGGTGTAATGTTAAATGTGATAACAGTATAAAATAGAAAAGACAATAATGACATTTCTGTATTTATTGTAACTATATTACGTAACAATTCAAGTGTAATACACACATTCTTAAAATATATCTATTATAGTTTTAAACTAATTCCGTGTTTTTAAGGCTATTTACTATTAGTAAAAAAATGTAGGTGTTTATCCTAGTGTTTATATTTTGGGTTTGAGAATGCAGATGCCGATAGTTTGTCAACATACATGTTGTTCATTCCCATATGAAATATATTCATATCAGTGTTTCTTTTGGAACCCTGTTAGTTTACATTCATGAGCACAGAATGGGAAACCCAGAACTGTAAACTGTTCAGATAATTTTTATTTTACTTATGTATGCTGAAATTTGATATGACCTACAGCTTTTGCATACAAAGGTGCCTCACAAAATGGATTTCAGACAGACTTCTGAGGCAGCAAAAGGTCTAACGATCTACAACAAGCCATAGACTTTGGTATAAAACCAAACAAATATTTAATTACTAATGCTGATTTATTGGTAGGAATAAGGTGCCTCCAAAATGTGTTCATATGAAGAATGTAACATAATCATACCATAGCATTCAGACATGCATTGGTGCCTCAGTACGCATTCTGAAAAAATGTATTTACCAGATTTCAGATGCAGCACATGAAGTCACGTGGGATTTAAATTGTATTTTCTGTCTGTTTAACCGTTCCTATTTGTTTTCCAGGTGTGTTGAGTGAAACAGTGTCAGTGAATGAGGGAGATTCTGTCACTCTGTTCCCTCAACTTACTGAAATAAAGAAAGACGATGTGATAGATTGGAGGTTTGGAGACATTCTCATAGCTAGAGTAAGAAATAACAAGAACTCCTCAGTGTATGAGGATGCTCATGATGGGAAATTCAGAGGCAGATTGAAGCTGAACGGTCAGACTGGATCACAACAGTCCACCATCACAAACATCAAAACCACATACACTGGAGTTTACCAACAGCATCAACACCATTAGGAAGACATTCAGTGTCAGTGGTGTGTCTGATGCATTTCAGTGTTATTATTAGCTTATTTACATAATTTCATAATTCTTATTTTATCTGAATTATCTGAAATTTAACTGTTAAACATGCAAGATGCACAACATGTCCATGTGTCTTGATGAACCTAGAAATTTGCCAATCAAATTTTAACTCTAAAAATGGTTAATTTTCCTCAAAAAAAAAGACCTCACAAAACAAAAGTCATGTGATCACTGACAAGTCAGCAGTATATTTAAGAAAATACAATTTTACAAACTCAGAACCCTAAAATTAACCTCTAAATATGAACAGTGGTTTTACAAAACATAGTTTAACCATGAAGTAACACCAAATGTTGAATAAAACCTTTTCCTGAATCAACCAACTGTTGGTACTCTTTGTCGTCACTTTATCCAGGAAGTCTCCTCCAGACTTGAAATGTGGTTTGGACTGGTTAACATCTGAATAGTCACAACTATTAGTCATAATGTGACATCACAGAGATAAGATATGATTGGGTGGAGGTTTGACCATCAAAACCATCCTGTAGCTGTAATCAGCTGAAAGACAAACCATCTCTTTCTCAGAAATGTACTTTTAAAGGGGTCATATGATGCGGTTTCAAGTTTTCCTTTCTCTTTGGAGTGT